ATGCCCACATATTGTAGGATTCAATAATTAATTGTAAACTCTAACCTTTAAGAGAGGACTGTAGCCTAAGGCCTTAGTATTTGGAAATAATACATTTAATACAATGAAGAATTAGAAAACATTTTTAAAAAATAGGAAAAATTTGTTCTTAAAATGGAGCTCAGTCTAAAATGTAAGAAGTTTAGAATTCACACAATGGGGCCGGCACCGCAGCTCACTAGGCTAATCCTCCACCTTGCGGGGCCAGCATACCGGGTTCTAGTCCCGATCAGGGTGCCGGATTCTGTCCCAGTTGCCCCTCTTCCAGGCCAGCTCTCTGCTGTGGCCTGGGAGTGCAGTGGAGGATGGCCCAAGTCCTTGGGCCCTGCACCCCATGGGAGACCAGGAGAAATACCTGGCTCCTGCCATCGGATCAGCATGGTGCACCAGCTGCAGCATGCCAGCCATGGTGGCCATTGGAGGGTGAACCAACAGCAAAGGAAGACCTTTCTCTCTGTCTCTCTCTCTCTCACTGTCCACTCTGCCTGTCAAAAAAAAAAAAAAGAATTCACACAATGGATAAGTGTGTTCTAATTCACAGTGAAAAATAGCTGAGCTCCTACAAGGAGCTGTATGTTATTTTCTGCCAGCCCACAATGAAACAGAAGGTGTAGCTATGATTTCCAAGGCCCAGTGGCATCCAGAGATGAATTTTTTCCCTCTGAAAGGTTTTTTTGGAAAGTTTGATGAAATATAACTAATCCTAGTCTGCCCAATTAACTAATATCAGATAGTATAATTGTTCGTGTGTGAGTGACTAAGTATGAGTGAGTGTGTGTATGGGTGAGTGTGTGTATGAGTGAGTGTGTATGTGTGACTGTGAGAGTATGTGTGTGATATGTGTGTGACTGTGTAAGTATGGGTGAGCATGTATATGAGTGTGTGTGTGAGGGTGTGTGTGTGTAAGTGTGTAAGTATGGGTGACTGTGTATATGAATGTGTATGAGTGTGAGAGTATGTATGTCAGGATGTGTGTGTGTGTTTCTTCTCCTTTAAAGAGTCCCAGTAAACAGATACATGGATGTACTAAGAAGAATCACATCATGCCTAAATGTTAGAACATACAAAATACTATAACTTGTACTCTTAAATGATTTTAATCAAGACAAAATTTACTAAAAACATTCCTTAGCCCATTCTTTAAAATATTATGCCTTTATTATTTACTAGGATGTATAATTTTCTTCATTTGGAGGGTTTGAGAAGCAAATAGCTCAGGTATTTCTTTTTTATTTCTGGATGATTAAAAGTCAATAATCTACCTATTTATTTCACTTGCCTTCACAGTAGAAACTGTAAATTATAAAAATAAACAATACATAAAAGTAATGATATAAAGATAATCTTAAAATCTGAGACAACCTGAGTTTCCAGCTCATGTATTATACAGCAGTTTGCTTGCATCTGCTGCTGGAAAGAAATGCCTTGTGATCATTCCCTATTGCAGTCGCACTGGCAAGAAAGATCATAGTCTTTGGGTGAATCTTCTGCAACACATTTCTGATTGCTTTTCTAAAAGGACTTCCCCAATATGAGAAGTCAAAAATCATAGAAGTTCCATTTGTAGGACACTGCTTAAATACCCTTCACAGATAGAATCCTGTTCACATTGAGTAAGTAGTACTTGCTTTCCAAAAAAGTAAAATCAGCCAAAGAGAAAATCAGTGCTCTGCAATAAAGTCAATTTGTTGTGCAACATAATGATTTCCTCAAATAACAGGGAAGCTCTGATGTAAACATGTTTGAGAAAAATAACATGCAAATGACAAAGAAAGGCTTCCTCTTCCCAAACTGTGTAAATCATATCTCCATTGTCTTCTTCATCATTCTTACTATTACTTTATATAGGGAGAGGCTGTGTGCAGGAGGGAGGAGAGAGAGAGAGAAGAAAACATTAAGTGACATTTACTTAGAAAACATACTGAGGCCAGCACTGTGGCTCACTAGGCTAATCCTCTGCCTGCGGTGCCAGCACCCCGGGTTCTAGTCCCGGTTGGGGTGCTGGATTCTGTCCTGGTTGCTCCTCTTCCAGTCCAGCTCTCTGCTGTGGCCCGGGAAGGCAGTGGAGGATGGCCCAAGTCCTTGGGCCCTGGACCTACATGGGAGACTAGGAGGAAGTACCTGGCTCCTGGCTTTAGATAGGTGCAGCGTGCCGGCCATAGCAGCCATCTAGGGGGTGAACCAATGGAAAGAAGACCATTCTCTCTCTCTCTCTCTCTCTCTCTCTCTCTCTAACTCTGCCTATCAAAAAAAAAACATACTGAATGTGAGATCCTATGAGAGGAATGAAATGATCATCAACAAATTTCTGAGTGTAAAATGTGAAGAATTGCTGGCCTAGCCTGTGTAGAGTACACAAGCAAAGAAGGTTGGTAACAAGACTGGTGAAGGCAGAATGGATACAGTAGCAATGATTATGAATAACAGCAGAAGAGGCTTTCATGTGGTGCATAAATGCCTTTCTAGAAGAGGAAGAAGAAGGTGAGGTCAGAGGCACTGATCCTAGTGCATTTCTTGAACAAAAGAGGCTATGAAAGGCAGTGAGTATAGGATTGGCTTATGTGTGTGGAAAAGTGGGAATGGGGAATTGACTATCTTGCTGAAATAGGAAACTCAAAAATAAAGTATCTTTTAAATACCATTTGATACTATAGTCCCTTTTAGAAATGTGTACACATAGCATATACCCTATGGTGAAAGTGTGATATGTGATGTATGTGACATGTGACAATCACGAGTAGTTTGCTGTACAATGTACTATAAAATACACAGATAAATATGATATACTACCTACCTAGAAGTACCTTACAATCAAGTTTTGGATACAAGTGACCTAAAATTAACCATAAATAATTATAAATAGTAGTCCTTGGGGTACTATCAAGCTATCATGCGTTAAGGGTTAATACTTTGGGATACATAACCTTTTTCTTTGCTAAATCAATTTATGGGAAATAGCAATGATAATACCATGAAGTGGGTATTTTGTTAAGCAGTTAAGAAGCTGCTTGGGACACCCACATTGCATATTGGAGGGCTTGAGTTCAAGACCTGGCGCTGCCTCCAATTTCAGCTTCTTCTGACTCCTATGCTGGGAGGCAGCCCCATGTGCTTGGGGCCCTGTCTCCTACATGGGAGATGGAATTTAAATTCCTAACTTGAGGATTTGGTTTGATCCAGCCATGGCTATTGTAGGCATTTGTAAGTGTATCAACAAATGGTAAGTCTCTTTCTCTTTACCTTTCAAATAAACAAATAAATAAAAATTTTAAACAGGAATTTTAATTCTGTTATTATGTATGCATTTCAGAGACTAAACTGAATATTATGGTAAACAAATTTTCTAGGACAGTAGCTTTAACTGAAATCTGATATATTTTTTAAAAGCCAAATTTTAGATTAGATACAAAAAAAAATTTCTACACCTACTTCTAATTTCTCCCAAATGGCATATGAGTAAGTTTATGTGAATCTGAAGATTTCACCTTGCAGATAATCCAAGGGTACTGATTGTGTATTGGATCAAGGCACTCCATCCAAACCCATACTTTGATTTTTTCATATGTCATATATCATGGCTCATAACTTTTGAAATATTTAATAAGTTTTTAGAGTTATATACTAGATAGAAGATAGCATTTCATTACACTGAGGGGGGAAATGAACTGGGATTGTACATTTTTCTTGTACTTAACATGTAAGCTGGCACTCTCAAAAAGGGTAAATGTTATTTACCAGCATCTCTACCCTTGCATACACACAGCACACAGAAACACGAATGAAGCACATCATTTGTTTCATATGGCAATAACTGTCAGAGTAGAAAATAAATCTTAGTAGCCGCACATGTTTTTAAAGTTTTGCACTGATTAACCAGAACTCTGGTTAAAATCAGTTTGTAATGGGCATATTTTTGCTTAAAACATTTACAGATTCAGAAAAGAAGAATGACTTGGGGAAAATTGCAGAAGGTTTGACACCTGAAGACTTGAGTTGAAAATCATTGCAATTTGCCACTTCCATGGTCTTCTAAGCCAATTCTCTTTTCAAGTTCAGATTCCTAATCTATAGAATCCATGCATGATTGTTGCAAACAGAAAATTGAGAGAATTTAAAGTACAGATGTGGGAGAGAGAAAATAAGTTTAGTAATAATACTTACTATTGATAATATCAAATAAAATGTACCATGAGTGAGATTTAATTAACTGAAAACAATTTTTAAGGATTTACCTTAGTTTTTTTGAAAGGTAGAGTGACATAGAGAGAGGGAAAGATAAGGAAAAAGACATCTTCCATCTGCTGATTCACTCAGGAAATGGTTCACTCCCCTCAATGGTTGGGCCAGACCAAAGCTAAGAGCCTGGAACTCCATCCAAGTTTCCCACATGGGGAGCAGGCAGGACCCAAGGACTTGGGCTGTCTTTTGCTGTTTTCTAAGGCACATTAGCAGGGAGCTGGACTGGAAGAAGAGCAGCCATGACTCGAACTGGGCTTCAAATGGAATGCAGGCTTTGCAGGTGGCAGCCTAACCTATCGCACCAAAATGCTGGCCCCTCAACTGAAATTTTTACTGACACATTTACTGGTATTTTAATTCCACTTAAATCACTTCACTGTCACTTGACATGTAGCATTTAGCAAAATGCATCCTTCTTTTCTTAAAAAATGAAATTCATTTTATAAATGAGGTGATGCTCTTTCTACTAACACATATTTTTAAAAACTTGGCTGTGCTCACAATTCCTTTGGCCCATCAGTTAGGGTTAAGTATGCTTGCTTTTTAAGAAATAAAAGTGTTTTAGCAGGTCTGAGTGCTTTTATTTATCTCATACTATCTTTTTATAGCTCTGTTACTAAAAACGCCTCAAACTGAAGCATGTCAGGTTTTTTTTTTTAAACTTTTATTTAATGCATATAAATTTCCAAAGTACGACTTATGGATTACAATGGCTTCCCCCCCATACCGTCCCTCCCACCCACAACCCTCCCCTTTCCCACTCCCTCTCCCCTTCCATTCACATCAAGATTCATTTTTGATTATCTTAATATACAGAAGATCAGCTTAGTATACATCAAGTATGGATTTCAACAGTGTGCTCCCACACAGAAACATAAAGTGAAAAATAATAGATGATTTTTTTTAAATGATGATGAAATCAGAGCAGACCTATTGTCATGTTTAATCCCAGTGAGAGTCAAGTTGGGAATTGATAATTTTTTTTTTTTACAGAGGATCAGTTTAGTATGCATTAAGTAAGGATTTCAACAGTTTGCACCCCCATAGAAACACAAAGTGAAATATATTGTTTGAGTACTCGTTATAGCATTAAATCTCAATGTACAGCACATTAAGGACAGAGATCCTACATGAGGAGTGAGTGCACAGTGACTCCTGTTGTTGACTTTACCAATTGACACTCCTGTCTATGGCATCAGTAATCTCCCTATGCTCCAGTCATGAGTTTCCAAGGCTATGGAAGCCCTCTGAGTTCTCTGACTCTTATCTTGTTTAGACAAGGTCATAGTCAAAGTGGAGGTTCTCTCCTCCCTTCAGAGAAAGGTACCTCCTTCTTTGATGACCTGTTCTTTCCACTGGGATCTCACTCACAGAGATCTTTTGCCAGAGTGTCTTGGCTTTCCATGCCTGAAATACTCTCATGAGCTTTTCAGCCAGCTCCGAATGCCTTTAGGGCTGATTCTGAGGCCAGAGTGCTATTTAGGACATCTGCCATTCTATGAGTCTGCTGAGTATCTCACTTCCCATGTTGGATCACTCTCCCCTTTATTTACTCCATCGGTTAGCGTTAGCAGGTACTAGACTTGTCTATGTGCTCCCTTTGACTCCCAGTCCCTCCACCATGACCAACTGTGAACTGAAACTGATCACCTGGAATAGTGAGATGGCATTGGTACATGCCACCTCGATGGGATTGAATTGGAATCCCCTGGTATGCTTCCAACTCCACCACTTGGGGCAAGTCAGCCTGAGCATGTCCCAAATTATACATCTCTTCCCTCTCCCATTCCCACCACCATGTTCAACAGGGATCACATTTCAGTTAATTTTCAACACTTAAGAATAACTGTGCATCAATTACAGATCTAAACCAGTCATATTAAGTAGAACAGATAAAAAAACTACTAAGAGGGATAATGTATTAAGTTGTTCATTAACAGTCAGTTTTTAAATATAATTTAATGACATTGTCATCTACTTTCAAGGTAAGTCAAACTAAAAAATGTTTATATATATTTTATGTATGTGTGCAAATAATTCAGGGAGAATGAAATTAAAAGATAAGTTTGTGGGGTTGTGACACAGTCTCCTTCTGCAGCACCAGCATCCCAAAACACCAGTTCATGTCCCAGCTGCTCCACTTCCGATCAAGCTCTCTGTGGCCTGGGAAGGCAGCAGAAGATGGCCCAAGTGCTTGGGCCTCTGCACTTGCATGGGAGACCTGGAAGAAGCTCCTGGCTTCGGATCTGCCCATCTCCAGCCATTACAGGCATTTGGGGAGTGAACCAGCAATGGAAGATCTCTCTCTCTGTAACTCTGCTTCTCAAGTAAATGTATAAGTCTTTCAAAAAAAAAAGTAAAAGTATAATCTGAAAAAGTACTCTTTCTTTGTAATTTATTTTCAATAGCATTTATTTTAAATGCATGAAAACTTCCTAATCTGAAGAAAGTAAGCCTACATTTGAAACTCACTATATTTAAAATATCTTTCTGAGCAGCCTTAGCTATACAGAAATATGAAGAGAAATTTTGTTGTTAATCATTGTATACAAAATAAACTTGAATGTTTATCATTGCTACCTAGTGTGATTTAAATATATTGATATAAACAGCTCTACCTCTCAAATAAATGTTTTTTTAAAAAGATAAATTTATGTCAGTGTGAAGAACTTTTAAAACTATATACACTTTTGGCTGGCGCTGCGGCTCAGTAGGCTAATCCTCCGCCTTGCGGCGCTGGCACACCGGATTCTAGTCCCAGTCGGGGCACGGGATTCTGTCCCAGTTGCCCCTCTTCCAGGCCAGCTCTCTGCTGTGGCCAGGGAGTGCAGTGGAGGATGGTCCAAGTACTTGGGCCCTGCACCCCATGGGAGACCAGGAGAAGTACCTGGCTCCTGCCATCAGATCAGCGCAGTGCACCGGCCACAGCGCGCCAGCCGCAGTGGCCATTGGAGGGTGAATCAACGGCAAAAGGAAGACCTTTCTCTCTATCTCTCTCTCTCACTGTCCACTCTGCCTGTCAAAATAAATAAATAAATAAATAAAATAAAAACTATATCCACTTTTTAAATAATATGCAATTTTCATGAACTTTAAAGATTTCCAACATGCATAGCTCCAAATCTTTTGTACCCCAAAATAAAATTACACTTTAATTCCATCTTCCATGAACCCTTTGAAATCCTCTCAGATTTATAGTTTAAATATTTTAAATGTTTTAAATTGAATCATCATTTATCACAGATGAATGTAGTCAAATGTATGCAAGTTTTTTGGTACATACATAAAATCACTTCTAGAATTTTGATCATCACTCACTAAAGAAATTTCAGAATCCTCTTTATTTAAAACTAATTTGTGTGGTGCAGAATGGGGAAATTGCTCTGACTTGTACAATTGGCCACGTTCCATGAAACATGTTCCCTGCACACAGGGAATTTCAAAGCTGAAAGCTAAGATGACATCAAACAGCTCTTGAACTTCCAGAAAATTTAACAACTGGCTACCTGAAGCCCCTATTAACCTGTTCCAGCACACTCAAGACTGCAACACTTTACTATTTCAAAAAAAATGAAATCCTGGTGTTCAAAAGCTGTCATACAATGTTGGATAGTGAGAACACGTTAAGAGAGAAATTTGATGAGTCTAAGAGGATAGGGTTACTTCTTTCACAAGTGATGCTAATGATCAGACACTAGTATTTAGAGTGGTATTCTATTTTTTTTTACATTTTAAGCTTTTATTTAGTGTGAAAGATGCATAGGAGAGTGAGGGCTTTATTTCTAGGAGAGAGATAGATCTGCGTTCACACCAAGTACCAGGAACCAGCCACGTGGAAGAGCATCCAGGCCAGGAAGCATAGGGTAGGTTGGCCTGAAGGCCATGTGCCCTATGAAGAGTTAAAATTGTATATGTGCGGGTGTAAAAAGTTAAGCTTAAGCTTACAGGTTTAAACCTTCCTGGTGCAGCTGTGAAAATAAAACAGAGTGAAGTAGCACCTTGACAGTAGGGACTCCATTTTGGAGCACTTGAGACTCCATTCTGGGAAAGCACCCCCCCACACCGTGAGACTGGTCTGAAACTATGATCTCAAATAGTCAGACAATAGCAGTGCACTACATCACCCTTGGCAATGCACAAAAACCCCCTAGCATGATTGCTCAAGCTTAAAAATAAAAAGGTTGCACCTGGGTTACCTGAGCTAATAATGAAGATGTGATTTGTCTATGTCTTAAGATCATAATTGTTGATTGTAAGATATTAGCAACTGCTTAGCAACCGTGTATTCTCTCCCCCCTCCCGATTTTGCGGTTTTTGCCTTTATAAACCCTATGCTGTAGTTCCTCAGGGCTCCTCTGTCCTTGTATGTTCAGAGAGCCCCAACATGTTGGATCAATAAATCTTTAACCCTTTGCTGGTTGCATGAGAGAAAAGTCTCTTGGAGTCGTTCCTCGGGCGGTGGGCTTTTTCTGACCCTAACACCCTGAAGGCACAGGGATGCAGACAGCCCCCTACTGGCAAGAGGCCAGGGTGACAAAAAGGAATAAAAGGGGGGATAGACACACTATGTCACAGATTTTTAATCCATTATCAAAGGAGAGTGGCTAATTAACCTGATTGGCCAGTGGGTGCTCAGATGTGGCCAAGTAGGGGCATGAGGTCACACAGGGGTGTGGCAAAGGCATGGTCTTCCAGCTCATAAGCCTAATCAATTTTAACCTGTATGCCTGTCTACTTCATTTCCCCCTCAGAGACTTCATCCCTTAATCCTAAGGGAAGTTGATAGGTGTAGAATTATCTCTTCTGTAAATGCTTCCTGCTTATGGGGGCATAGTGCAGGCTCTTCCTATGGCTCTGGAATTCTCCACATAGCCTATCTAACAAATTCGTTTTGTGAGCGGGAGCAGTCTTGGTCATTGCCAATGTCTGTGTCCCCTGCATGGTCAGTTACTCCCAGAAGTTGAGTTCTGAAACATAAAAGTTTGCTGACTAGCATAAACAAAACTGGAACAAAACCAATTATATTTGGGGTGCCCCTTAAGACGAAAACAACATATTTTTCAGATTCCCAGAGAGTGGGTAGTGATAAGTTACCCTTATGTAGATTATAACCCATTTAGCTTGAGTATAGAGAATTATAATAGAATAACTCATTAGGTAGCTTTATTCTCAATAACAGTTCCCAGAGATAATGAAGAAATGCAGGTACAGCATTTTTGCCTTAAGGTACAGCAGTCTTGATGTGACAAAGGCAAAACTTTACTTATCTTATTGCTTTGAAGAGGTACTAAGGTCTCTGATTGGCTTACAGGAATAATCAGGCATGTCTTTCGCATTCACCTGTGAATATTTAAGAGGCAGAAGTTTAATCCTAATTTAATGGAGGTAGTCATGCTCAATATCACCTGGTAAGATCCCTTTCATTTAAGCTGAAACTGATCTGAAGAGAATCTTCTTATGAATGGTTTGCTCAGGAATTGTTAATGTTGGAGTTTTTGTTAAAAACGCCTTGATTCCTTGGAACAGCTTTTGTAGCTCCCATGCCCAGCACATTGTGTCTATGTCAGAGGCTTTTTAAGCAAACACAAGGCTTAGAATCCAAATCCTGGAATCCATAACAACTTTTGTAGCTACACTTTTCAGTACAGAGTCTGCATCAGGGCCTCTTTAAAGCTGTATACAAAAGCTTGGAATTCAAATCTTGGAATCCAAATTCCACAGAATTTCATCATTCTCAGAAATCTCCTCAGCTGCCTTTAAATAGCTGACCCTATGTTAAAACATATGAGACAGAAATTTCACAGAGAGACATGTATCCAAGATTTTACATTTGAGGCACTTAATGAACTTTAAATAAATACCTAAGAATACAGGCATTGGAGCTTGACACTTAGCCACAACTAGAACTTATGATGCATAATATCACACAATAGCACAAAGTAAATCTTTGGAATTAAGTTTTACCATTAATGTTAATACTGTAGCTCTTTTGAGAACAGAGGTCCTACATGGGAAGTTAGTACACAGTGACTCCTGTTGTTAATTTAACAATTAACACTCTTATGTGTGACATCAGTGATCACCTGAGGCTCTTGACATAAGCTGCCTAGGCCATGGAAGCCTTTTGAGTTTCACAAACTCCATCAGTATTCAGACAAGGCCATAAGCAAAGTGGAAGTCCTCTCCTCCCTCTGGAGAAAAGTACATTCTACTTTGATGTCCACTCCTTTCCACTGGGGTCTCACCCAGGGAGGTTCTCCCCATAGGGACACTTTTTCCACGAGTCCCCTGGATTTCCATGCCTGAAATGCTCTTGTGGGCTTTCTAGCCAGACCAGAATGCCTTCAGGGGTGATTTTGAGGTCACTGAGTGTTACTTAAGGAGATTGCCACTCTATGAGTCTGCTGTAAGGACTCCCTCCCATATTGGAGCATTCACTCCTCTTTAATTTTATTTACTATTAGCAGTTAATACTTAATCCTATAGACAGGATCACTTTAAAACTTAAGATGTTAGCATTACCATCTAGCCCAAGGGGATTTGCGATCCCATATCAAGTTTTAAACTGTACCCTTAGAAGTAAGTCTGTAGGAATGTATGCAGAGCTATACAGCTTTACAGTCTCTGTAGGACCTGAGAAAATAAAAACAGACACAGGTCTTCATGAGCTTAATTATTTTATTCTTAAGCATATTACATGGATACATTGTATTAGCTATAATTTCTTAATCCTTCTAGTCGAAGGGCCTCCCAATTATTAAGTGTAGATCTGTCATGGAGTCTCCAAAGGAGCAGATGTAGAACTATCCATAGTTAAATCACCTTGTGGGGCCAGTGCTGTGGTGCACTAGGCTAATCCTTTGCCTGCGGAGCCAGCATCCCATATGGACACCGGGTCTAGTCCTGGTTGCTCCTCTTCCAGTCCAGCTCTCTGCTGTGGCCCAGAAAAAGCAATGGAGGGTGGCCCAGGTGCTTGGGCCCTTGCACTGCATGGGAGACCAGGAGGAGGCACCTGACTCCTGGCTTTGGATCAGCGTAGTTCCAGCTGTTGTGGCCATTTGGGAGGTGAACCATTGGATGGAAGACCATTCTGTCTGACTCTCTCACTGCTTGTAACTCTACCTGTCAAATAAATAAATAAATTCTTTTAAAATCACCTTGTAACCTGGGGAGACAGGAGGTAAATAGGGCTAAGCTTTGGCCCAGTTATATCTCTGATCATCTACCTTAACACGTAATCTGACATCTCAGAGCTACTATACCTATTATAGAGCTTAATGTATAAAATCACACTCAGAGAGAAAAATAAGGAAATAATATTGTAAAATCTCATTCAGAGGTGAAAATAACAAACTAACATAATAAAATCCAGCTCAGAGGTGAAAGTAACAAGCTAATATAATAAAATATGATTTAATATACATTGCTCTATTAATCAGCCATGTAGTATGTGGTTGGTCATGGGGGCCACCACCTTGGGGTGGAGTCTGTTGCCCATCTTACTATGAGGGTGGAAGTTCCCATGGTGGGTCACCATCTTGGGGCATAAGTCCCACCCTCCTCATAGAGTGGTATTCTAAAGTTCATCTGTAATGCTCAGAACATTTTTCTGATTCATTATTTATACTTCTTGCTGTGTTGATCTGACAAAGAATCCATTGAAATATATAAATTGCTCTGCTGAAGCCATGGTGTACAAAGAAAATCCTCAGCACTGTTGTACATAGTGAAATATATTTCTTTTCAATCATATGTAACACAAGTGTACATGCATTAACAATTGCTACTCATAGATTATTGGGATATCCAGCAATGATCACCACATCCAAATGTTTTGTTCTTTAAATTAAATAATAGATATGTCCATCCCAAAGCATAGAAAAAATTATAGCACAAAGAACTTCCCTTTGAGATCTCAATATTAGAAAGCAAAAGTAGAGAAATGGTTTCACACCAGTGGGAAGAAACTACACATTTCTCCTGATTGTAAGAACATGTTTCTTTCAGGATAGATATTGGAATCATTTATAATAATTCTACACTGGTGTTACTTAAGGGATTGGCAACTCAGCTTTGGAAGTAATAGAGAATCCAAATTGGCAAGACTCAACTCAAAAGAAGCCTTGCTCAAATCTCACTTGACCACACTTTGAAGCACTGTACAATGTAGCTGAAGCATACAAGTACCTGCTCTCTAGAAAAGAGCTGTCTTACATGGGGTGAACAGAAGGGAAGTTGCCACAGGAATACACAAACACATCTCATCTTCTGGGTAGTGTGCATGGGTATTTTTGAGTAGTCAAGTTTTGTGTGTTTCTACGCATGTACTATGGCATTCCTAAAGATAAGTTTTCCTACTTTATACCTAATATTAATTACAATATCAAGGGGAATCTTCCCTACATGGGCACTTACTGCAAAACACTAAACATGAATAAGAATGTTTTTATGATTAAACTCCCTGTTAGTAGCCACACGAGCATAATTAATCTGCCCTGCAGCTCTATTGTGTGGTGATAGCTATGGGAATGAAAATGGCAACAGCCTTGTCATTTTGTGTGCTACATAACAGTTGTAATCCCTCTATTTTCTATATATTGCCAGCTTCATAGATTCCTTAAATGGCCAAATGTGATAATATCCAGGGAATCACTTAGCTGTCCCATAAATAAATATGGAACATCATCTGAGAACTGTCTATGGCATATTGAAAACATATTTTCACAACACGGTTGTACTTTATTCCAACTCTTATATTAGATTAAGTTACATCCGTTCTCTATTCTCATCTCTCTCATATACTTACACAACCAACTCCTTCTACTCTAGAATATACTATCCCTCAATTGAGGAAGAGGCTCCTCTACAACACAGAAGACTTAAGTGTGAGGAGGTATGTCAAACTTGGTAAAGTTCATGCCAGTGAAGGCCTGGAGTGTTAGAGATACTGTTCCTTACTTGATTATATTTTAATGCCTTTATTTTGAAAGAGCTCTGTTATATACTTAGCTATAAAACAATGTCACATGAAAAAAGAGTACTGCATGGAACATGATAAGGTTTCTATAATGAAGAGTTGTATAATTCAAAATTATATCTAATAACAAATTTGGCAAGGTTGCCAGGATTTTTCACTTAAAAAAATCACACTGACATACAACTAAAGTCCAGAATATGAAAAAATGATGAACGAGTTAGCAAAAATCTGTGTCCATCCTTCCTTTTGAAGGTAGTAATTTATTTCAATGGTGTTTTCTCTTTATATTCCATTGTTCTCAATCGCTATATTCACTGTGTTCAAGTGCTTACTTCAAAATGTATTTGCCACATTAAATGAAATTCTTATATAGTATTATCCACGTATCCAGTGGGTTTAAATGCATATCCACTGAAAAATAAATATAGCACATGTATTTATCACAATAAATAAATCATAGGTAAAGCTTACACTTTAATATTCACAAATAAAATTCAATATTTCAGGGGAAAGCCTTAATATAGGTATTTAATTTGTTCTAAGAAAAAAGATTTTTTTTCAAATTAGAAGAAACATAGATTCTGTCAGAAAAATGAATAATCATGCAATTCTCATAAATCTTTAACACTCAAACATACACAGAGTGGGTGTTGGAAGGACATTCTCAATGAGAATATTTACCTATAATGTAAATTTGCCTCATGAGCTCATCAGACAGTGTCTCAAAGACATCGTGTACTTTCAAGATTAAATGGTAAGGCTGGCACCATGGCTCACTAGGCTAATCCTCCTCCTGTGGTGCCGGCACCCGGGTTCTAGTCCCAGTTGGGGCGCCGGGTTCTAGTCTCAGTTGCTCCTCTTCCAGTCCAGCTCTCTGCTGTGGCCCAGGAAGGCAGTGGAGGATGGCCCAAGTGCTTGGGCCCTGCTTGGGCCCCGCACCTGCATGGGAGACCAGGAGGAAGCACCTGGCTCCTGGCTTTGGATCAGCACAGTGCACCAGACGGAGCAGCCATTTGGGGGGATGAACCAATGGAAGTTAGACCTTTCTCTCTGTCTCTCTCTCTCACTTTCTAACTCTGCCTGTCAAAAAAGTTTTAAAAAATAAATGGTAAGATAGTCCAGACATGCAGGTCATAAACAGATTTTAGTAAATTCTACAACTAAAGGCAAGGGTCTACTTTGATGGTACTATTTCTTTGTCTTCTGAAGTTACACTATTTCCTTTCCTTAGCAATCTTACGTACTCATGAAAATCCTCAAGGATCATATTCTAGGTTCCAAAAGGTAAAGAGAGGAAGCTCAATTTTATGGAACATGAAACTAAAGCTTCTGTGAACAGTCCCTACATATTAGCGGAACTTTCTAACTGTAGGAGCCAACAACAACAAGTTATGAAAAATTTCACTTACAGCAACTTTCCCAAAATGTCTAGAATGTGAATTTCTCAATTTAAGAGATAACCATTTAATACAACATAAGACTTTTAAATTTTAATCAACTTCAAGAAAATAATCAATTTTCCTAGGATTACCATGAGTGCATTAGCTCATCTTATAAAGAAATGACTTCAGAATTCTTTTATTTTTGAACTTCTCATTTTACAAACTGTTTTGAAGGGCTCATAAGACAAACTCAACTAATGGAAGCAGAATAATATCAGAAGAATGTCTTTTACTCACTTGTTGAAGTAAGGGAATCTAGTCTTCAAAATGATGACTATTACTTTGTTGATTGCATCAGGCTAGAGATACTCCTGTAGCATTCAAATCCTTCCTTAACGATGTCTGCTATTTATTTTAAAAATTAATTAATATTAATTATGTCATGATATAATATCATTACATTTATATATCAATGTGATTGTAATATTTAAGAAGTCATTAGGACTTAGTGTAATATTTGCTTCTCTGAATTATTATTAACTGCATAACTAATGAATATTCATATAAAAAACAGCTACTTTGAAAAAGAAAGCTTTATTAGCATTCTTTAGTTGAATAAAAAGAGAAGTTTGAGCAGTGCACTCCAGATGTGGGGATCGCTTTGTTTCCTTCAAATGGAGCCAGATACACATGGACAATAATTGGAGAAAGAAGAAGAAATCACATCACCAGCCTTTGCAGGAGGGACTGTGCTTGGGAGGCTCAGACGCCCCCCCCCCCTTTTTTTTTTGGAAGCTGCATCATCCTTGCTGGGACACAGAGGCAGTCAGGTCAGGCCAGAGAACTGATCTGGGTCCTTCATTGTCACTCTCAAAGTCTTACATAAAATGGTTTTTCAGGAAAAATACAGACCTGAGACAATAGTTTATTTTGGCTGGAACTACAGTTCCCAAACTGAAGAGTTACTGGCAGAAATAGAAAAGAGTTTGGAAAAAAAAGTTTCTCTAAACTGAGATGCAGGAAAGTGCTCCTGCATTAATTCCCTGGTTCTCTGGGACCCCAATCAAGGATCCTTTGTTAAGAACCTCTCAAAGTGATGAGTCATGGGAAGTGGGAAGCTTTGGGTCTGCAGTCTACTTACCAAGGGAATTCCCTTTTCCTCGGGCACCCCCTTGCTAGCAGAGGTATAAAAAGGCAGCAGCAAGGCCTACCTGGTGATGATGAGGCATTGCCCAAGTGTGGGCAGCCAGGTCATTCACTCGCTAAGGCACAACCGCCCTGGGCTCTGGGCAGGGCTCTCACAACTCCTTGTGTCCCCCAAATATCTGCTGCTCCTGAGCCTCCCCATCTTTGTTTCCCTGTACTCTTTCCTTAAGCATGGCAACTGCTCCCAAGGCTGATCTCCTCTAGGATTCATCCCCATGTCTTTCACAATTCACCATTGTCAACATGTTACTTACCATGTGACTTCCACTCAACCCATGTTTATTGAATATTTGCAGTGGGAGGTATTCTGTTCCTCACTAGGAAACTGATGAGTAAATATACCATGTGACTTAATTAAGTAGCTTATGGAAGTAGTGGGCTTGTGTTGGGTGGAGGGTGGGGTATTGGGGGTATGGGGAATGGGGGTGGTACAGGAGGGCAAATCATGAACAAGGATAAAAATAAGTTCATAAATATCTAGTAACATCAAAGTACTGATTGAGTGACTGAAGAGAGATGCAAACATCCATTGGTCATCAAAGAAGAAAAGGCACATACAACTGGGGAATCATGAAAAGCTTTCATGAGCAGATCAGGTGTACCACAGCTCTTAAAGAAAGGACAGAGCCTCTACAGTGGCAGAAAAGGGCTTTCCAGGTGACAAGAAAAATAAAAGCAAAAAACATGAGCAGGAGGCATAAAACAGTATCTGGAGTACAAAATACAGATGGGAGTGATGAGAAACAGATCCCAGAATGATAGGTTAAGGCCGTGCAGGGCCTTGAATGAATGAGAAACTGAGAGAGGCAGTTGTTTGTGGGCTGAAAAAGTGTTGTCACAACAGAGAGGAAGGGGGATGGCAAAAGTACAGGCATCCGATCTAGGGGACCATGGGCCCTGAAGACTAGACAGGGACATGGTGATGCTGACAAGCCATCATGAAGCCAGGAACCAGCTGAAGTCCAGCAGAGAGTCCAACATTCCGGGAAGAGTAGGGATAAATTTCACTCACCTTAAAAGACTAAAATGTTTTCCTGCCCCTTTTTTCTGCACTGCCAATAAAACTTTACTGCAAATTATATTTGGTTTGCATTTTTTTCTGTTCCAAAACCTCTAACAAATAATGAGTTGCCTATACACTTATTTGTTTGGTTTAGTGCTGTACTATATATACATATTTCTTTCCTGGGCTTCTAAAATATCCTGAATCTAATCATTAACATTTTTCTACTTTTCCATACTTTTAATAAGCAATCTCAACTCATATATTCTAACATAATTGCACCCAGGGATCTTTGCTAATGTTCAGTAGTAATAATGCCTTTTCCACCACACAAGGCTTACAGAGCAATCCTCAATTAATTCCCAACTAATCTTTATTTAAAAAATTCACAAGTGAATAGTCCTCCTGCTTCCCACATCCGCATGCCCTTTGTTGGGGCAGCTTCATTGCACAATGTATGGCTGGAAACCCAGCAGGCTCAGATGTTTTCATGGGAGAGATGCTGCACACCCTCAAAATTCTCTACATCAGCTCTCCGCAAATCCAAGATGAATGCTTTATCCCCCCTGTCCTGCTAAAAGTGCTTCTAATCTCCTTTAGGAACTCCTTCTGCTTGTCAGCTACCTGACTGGCAATTCTGGAATTCAGACTGGAAATTCGAAAAGACTGAATCTTTTGTGAGGCTTTAAAAGTTAATGTTTCTATGTTAATTGCCACTGTCTGATTCTATTAAGCTTTCTTACTTTTCCCCTGGAAATTCTACCCTAGTTTCTGGCATGTTCCCCAACCTTTCCCAGAAAAAATGGTCTCCTCCCTGTTCCTCTAGGGGCCTGGAACTCTCCCTAGTAGACCTTACATTTTTGAATATGTTTTATTGTTTGCCTTCTCACTTCCACAATACCATTTTCTGACACTCATATCCATTGTTATGTGCATTTGACTGCATTTTAATTAGGGATCTACAACTTACTGATCTAACATCTCAGTATCTCTGAGTCCATTTGTCTTTTGATAACTGCCCAAATTCGATGTTTATACATTGTTCTCAATTAAGAATGACTTTAAGATGCATATTTGTCCTCAAATCCATGCTTGCATTTTCTTCTAAAAAAACAGCTGGTTGATGCAAGTGTTTATTTTTAAAAAGTTCTTTTGGAAAATCATGCTCTTTTATGTTTCATTTTTTTGTATTTTTTTTAACTTTTATTTAATGAATATAAATTTCCAAAGTACAGCTTATGGATTACAATGGCTTCCCCCCCATACCGTCCCTCCCACCCACAACCCTCCCCTTTCCCACTCCCTCTCCCCTTCCATTCACATCAAGATTCATTTTCGATTATCTTAATATACAGATCAGCTTAGTATACATTAAGTAAGGATTTCAGCAGTTTGCTCACACAGAAACATAAAGTGAAAAATAATAGATGATTTTTTTAAATGATGATGAAATCAGATCAGACCTATTGTCATGTTTAATCCCAGTGAGAGTCAAGTTGGGAGTTGATAATTTCTTTCTTTTTTTTTTTTTTTTTTACAGAGGATCAGTTTAGTATACATTAAGTAAAGATTTCAACAGTTTGCACCCCCATAGAAACACAGTGAAATATATTGTTTGAGTACTCGTTATAGCATTAAATCTCAATGCACAGCACATTAAGGACAGAGATCCTACATGAGGAGTAAGTGCACAGTGACTCCTGTTGTTGACTTTACCAATTGACACTCCTGTCTATGGCATCAGTAATCTCCCTATGCTCCAGTCATGAGTTTCCAAGGCTATGGAAGCCCTCTGAGTTCTCCGACTCTTATCTTGTTTAGACAAGGTCATAGTCAAAGTGGAGGTTCTCTCCTCCCTTCAGAGAAAGGCACTTCCTTCTTTGAAGACCTGTTCTTTCCACTGGGATCTCACTCACAGAGATCTTTTTCCAGAGTGTCTTGGCTTTCCATGCCTGAAATACTCTCATGGGCTTTTCAGCCAGATCCAAATGCCTTTAGGGCTGATTCTGAGGCCAGAGTGCTATTTAGGACATCTGCCATTCTATGAGTCTGCTGAGTATCTCACTTCCCATGTTGGATCACTCTCCCCCTTGTTTATTCTATCGGTTAGTGTTAGTATGTTTCACTTTTAAAGATGCTTCATTTTTTTATCATATTTAGTTTCTCTTGGTGTTGGAGTTCTCATAATCTCTTGTTCTGTTGAGAAGGTCCCTCTTTCAGCAGATGAAGATTAAGAAGGATGGTCCTTATGTCTAGACCAACAGGACACTTTAGAGGAAGGAAGGGTTCTGCACTTGCATTATCCCATACATTAGCCACACACAGCTATGGTGTGCATGGAATGTGGTTCATTGAATCAACAGATTGCATTTTTAAGTTTACCTAATTAAAATTTAAAAAGCCTTAAGTGAAAATCAGTTCCCTTACTACACAGCATGAAAGAGTATTATAATGGAACAAGCAGGAATGTTTGTGTCCCAGGTGGATTGAGCACCTGGTTTGCAGTCACTGTTGCAGTCCTGGCTTCACTTCCAATTCCAGCTTCCTGCTAATGTATTGGGAGGCAGCAGGTAATGAATGAAAAACTTAAGTCAGGGCCACCCACACAGGAGACCTGGATGGAGTTCCAGGCTTCTGGCTTTGCCCTGGCCCAACCCCAGCTGTGGCAGCCATTTGCAGAATGAATCAGCAAACAAGAGATCGCTTTCTGCCTGTGTCTGTCTCTCTGTTCCTCTTTCAAATAAATAAAACAAAACAAATATTTTTATAAAAGGGAATATTACAATTATCACTGATAACCACAGATACAAGCCGTGCATTGTAGTAAATCTGTAATGCCTTGTTGGGCAGACATGTCTGAAAAGAATGACATCCAGAGGACAAGTGCTTGTGTCTTAGGACTTCTCATTGAGAAAAAAGACTCTTCTTGTCTTGGAATTCTCAACCCTGATGGTGTGTAAGAATCACCTGGGGACTTTTTGTAGGCTGACAGTGTCCCGATGAAATGATGAGACACTTGGGACTTGCACCAAATTACTGGGAAAAATGAGAACAGAGACTAGGATGGCAGAAATGAGCTGTCATTTGTCACGTGCTGAGCAACACTGAACAGGACGTGCACATGTCCCATACCCCATTCTCCCATTTCATGCTATGATTTCCATGGATTGTCAAATTTAACACATGGCAGCTCCACTCTAGATGAACTTAATTGTAATCCAAGAGGCTTCTGTATCTTTCGAAAGGACTTGTATTACTCCAGTGCTCACAAAATTTGAGAATCACTGGTTTATGAAGAAGTCCTGCTACACAGAGAATACGAACTATCTTTCCTTAAGAACCAAAGAGATCAGGAAAAAGGAATCAATAGCAAAGTCATGGAAAACAATATTTATTAAAAAAAAAAAACACTCATCAAGGAGCAGGCTTTGTGGCATGGCTGGCTAAGCCACTGCTGGTGACATTGGCATCCCATATCAGAGTGCAGGTTTGAGTCCCAACTGCTCTGCTTCTAATCCAGCTTCCTGTTAATGCACCTGATGGTCCAAGTACCTGGGCTCCTGCTACCCATGTGGCAGACTAGAAAGGAATTCCTGGCTCCTGGTTGCTGGCTTTTGCCTGGCCCAGCCCTGGCTGCTTTGGCTATTTGGGAAGTGAAGCAGTACATGGAAAACCTCTGTCTTTGTTTCCTTCTCTGTCACTCTGCCTTTCAAATTAGTAGATAAATAATCTTTTTATAAAAAGAAATAAAAATACTGACCAAAATGCATTGCCATGTGCATTATGTTAACTCCCTTACAGAAAATAATGGTAACTGTGTTGCACAAGTAGATTTGCCACCAACTTTCCTTTCTAGGTGGTTTATGGAACCTATCTCAGAAGATCCCATGGGAAGATTACTGATGGTCTGCCCCGCCCTCCCTTTCCTTGTACTTTATTCACTGGCCAGGCCACCCATGTGGTCATCAGTGTCCCAGATCCATGGTCCCTAATCCTGTAGCACTGTTTGACAAGGGTTAACAATAATCCTCTGCAAAGTGGATCATACAGACACAGACATCCTGGACTGAAGCAGCATCTTTCTATCAAGGTCCTCATAAAAGGGATTTTTAATCTATTTGTTAAAGCCAGTGAATTTAAAAATTTGAAAGCAGTTTATTTTTCTTTAACTCACCAATGTTTGTGCCACTATCCAATAGTACAATGCAGCTTGCTTAATAGTCCTTATTTTTCCCAAATGTCCAATAATTTCAAGTTTTATTTAGTACTTGACATTTTAAAAAAGATGAACTGACTATATATAATGTTCAATAATGCATAAATGTATAAAATGCATAAAGCTCAACAATGCATAACTCTGCAGAGATGGCTATAGCATCTCATGTCTCATCTAAAAGTAATGCCACAGGATATTCATACATATTGGTTAATAGGAAATTGGATTTCATAGTTACCAGATTATTAAAAGTATAGACACCATATATTTTAAAATACACATTTTTAGCTTGGTTATGATAAACTTTTTAATAAATGTGCATTTATTTTTGTCCAGACTTAATAAAAATGGTAAATATATAACATATAACCAAAGGTATAAGATGTTAGAAAGCATCCATTGATATCAACCATTCACAAACACAAACAATGAGACTTTAGTGACTGTTCATCTACTTTTCCTGTGGGTTGACCAAACATTTTCCAGGTTCACCCCACTACTAAAAACGTGGATCTAGGAGCCTCAGAAAATCTCAACCATGGAGGATTCATTCATCTTCAGAGCAGCAGTTTCTATACCAGAAGTAAGATTTGCCAAACAAATAGGATTTACCTGACTCTATGCAGGTAATAGTCTTTACTACCAGCAGAAAATGTGATGAGTAATTAGGGGGTATGCATCTGACAAGGTGTCATGCAGATTTTAATAAAAACAATGCATGCAGATTGGCAAAAAGATACTGCAGTCTGTGGGTTAAAAATAAATGAATCTGGTGGGTTAAAAATAAATGAATATCTGATAGGCAACAAGAGCTAAACACACACATACACAGAGCACGTAAAACTAGTGAAATCTGGGTAATGTTGATGGATTGTATCAAAACGAATTTTCTGGTTGTGCTATTATATTGCAATTATTCAAGTTACTGCTGTTGGGGGAAGCTAGGTAAAGGATTTATAGGATACCTCTACATTATTTCTTTAAATACTGCACGTGAATTTACACTTGTTCAAAATGGAGTTTTAGTAGTGAAGTGCTAAGCAGAAACAAGTCTATTGGGCAAGGATTTATTAAAACCAAACAAAATCAATTATCAGTGCAAAAGTAATCAACTATTCAATAAAGGCTTTAATG